TTTGAATCTTTTAAAAAAATACCTGCTAGGTCAGCATTTTTCAAGCTGCATGTGCAACCAGTTATATTATGAAATAAATTATTTTTTTTTTAAATGAAAGGGAATAGTAACTATTAGTATGAATCATATGTAAAAAGGGGAAATCTTGTTTTGTGAGATTTCTTTTTCATTTTGTATACCTAAGTATGTATGAAGGTATGTGTGAACTAGGGTTGTGATATAATTTTTTACTGTGGATCCCAACCAAGAATTTGATAACACTGTACTAGACAGTTGGCATAATGCCTTGTTTAACTTAAATTAATATTTCTCAGGGATTTTGCACAGAGGTCTCATTCACTGAAAACACACTTACATTTTTCAAAAGAATGACATTGCAAAATAAATCAACGTTCTTTAGAACATCTCAGCACCCTAATGGTGGCAATGAATATTAATTGTATTTTTTCCCTTAGCCTTCTCAAAGGTGCAAACGTGAGCCATTGACCATGACAACCACTGCTGCATCATTACAATTTTATTCTACAAATTTTATAAGATGCCTCCTGCATGCCAGGTAGTATACTAGTTGATAGAGATGAACTGCAAGAAATTCACTGAGTGGGTTCTTGATTTCTGTTTTCATTGACAAGAAAGGAATAGTAGCCACTTATGGAGAAATCTAGAGCTATAAAAACTAACAATGTCTGCTTGTAATAAAAAAGCAAGAGTAATGATTTATACTTTATAACAAACAGTTGGAGTAGAAAAAATACACACTAAGTACTTTATAAAATCACTCATTGTGTGATTAATTCATATATTACTTTTGCCAGCTCTTGTGTTATTTGAAGACTACATCATTATTGTGTATCTGTATTGTTTTCTAAGTTTTCTCCTTATTTAGCTTGGTTACTAATCCACTGTCCTTTATGTATATTGCAAATAATCCCTCTTTGTTTATCCCTGGCCTCCTGTCGATTGTAAGTTCCCTGCAGGCAGGAGCTCTATCCATGTCTCCTTTGCGCTTTCCAGAATACCTGGAGGAGTAACAGACATGCACCAAGTACCCAGTAACTTCTGTTGATGGATAAGGAAAAAGTATGGAAGCTTTTACCTTGGAGGAACTGGTAGCCTGGGGCACAATGAGTCTGCTTGTGGACTCTGGGTGTAGTTGAAGGAATTCAAGTTGTAAACACACAGGAAGGACCCTAGAAGCAGAAGACATAGACTGTACCATCCTCCTATGCTGGGCCTATCCTCCTAGGGGAGCCAGGAAGGAAAACACAGCCATTTTACCAAACCAGGAAAGAGACAGAATCCATTACCCAGCTATAGAAAACACAGGTGGTCTAAACACAAAAAGAATCAGAATGCAATCTGAGGCTGAGTTAGGGCTTCTCTTTCTTTCTCTCCAAAACCCAAAACGCAAAACTGAAAGTTATATGATGGGTCCTAAAACTATTTGAAGGTTATTTGAAGATGATTTACTATAGAGGCTTGATATTTTTTTACCCCGGCGTTGCAAATAATTTTAAAAACTTGGCACACCATTTCTCAGGCAGATAAACCTTGCAGTGTGTTGCTCAAATTTCTTTTACTTTCCTTTGTTTGTTTAAGCCTTATAACTCTGAACCACAGGCCCAGAGCAGGTACTTCAGCTACACAAGTGCTTTTGGTACAACTTACGGCTATCCCACTGGTCACTGCAAGTATCCACTGGCCTCAACAATTTTTTTTTTTTTGTCTTTTTTTGTGACCGGTAAGGGGATCGCAACCCTTGGTGGTGTCGCCCGCACCGCACTCAGCCAGAGAGCGCACCAGCCATCCCTATATAGGATCTGAACCCGCGCGGGAGCGCCACTGCACTCCCAGGGCCGCACTCTCCCGAGTGAGCCACAGGGTCGGCCCTGGCCTCAACAATTTAATGAAAGAACCTACTTGCTGGCAATTAGACCCGAGGCCTCTCTAGGACTGAATATGCCCATGTGCACAGAGCTCTCTGACCTTCATCTGACTCTGCCTTTGGGCCCAAAATGTGGGCTATCTCCTCTGTGCTCTTTAGGGAAGACCATTCCTTGCAGTGAGCAGGGAACACTGGGGAGTAGCTAGGGTTTAGGGTAACTCAGACAGACCTGAAAGAAATCGAACAAGCTCAAGGGAAAATGTCTATGGCCTTTTCCACACAAGAAGAGGCACCCAGAAGGAAGGACAATTTTCAACTTTCCAGGGAAAGCAGGGTCAGGGTCAGGGATCTCATCTAGCCCCCAAATGTCACCCCACCCTGGGGGACAGAGAGACCAGCCCCTCAGTGCCTACCACTGGTGTTTGCAAAGAGCTGGACCTCTTCCAGGGTGTCAAGCTGCTCTTCAGGACAGCTGGATACGCACAGGGCAGTGGAACTGAGCCTCGCATCTTTCACTTCCAGGTTACAGGAGTTCATAAAGAACACATGTCTAAGGAGAGACGAAACAGAAGAATGTCTTAGAGCACTACCTCTCATTGGATTTAATTGTGGACCTTAAAAAATATCCACATGCTATCAAATGTGGGAATTACTAAGGCAAACTTTTCTACTCTAATGCTTCAGCATTACTGAACACTTACTATGCTTACTGGGGGTCACTACAGAGCTGTGCAGCTTGAGGAACACGCACAAACCGTAACAAAGCTTACTGTCACCAGATTCAGCATTTTCTAATGTAGTAAAACTAGGGAGCTACCTGAGAAAGTCACTGAGGAAGAGAGGGATTGATAATACAGCCTATGGATTGCGAGGTCAGGCCAGTGCACAAACTACTCAATGGAATCCAGAGAGCATATTTGTCCCCAAGAGTGTTGAGACAGACTTCAGAGAATAACCGAGCACAGGGCAGTGAGACGTGAAAAAGAGGGGCCGAGGCTGGGAATGAACGGCTTCCCCCTTGCCCACCTCCCTCACATGGCCTCCCTTTTTATGAGCTGGGCTAATAGAGTTTTGAATGGGAAAAGTTTCCAGGCTCTAAAGGACCAATTTATACAAAGTTTTGAAATGCAGCCCCTTTACAAGTCAGGGACTTTTTAGATACTTACTTTTTTAGCGTCATGTCCTGCCCTGAAAGGGGGGCCCCTTCCACGGGGGAGTTCTTCTTGCCACACACGTTGCCAAAGCTGTCATAGCCAAAGAGGAGTCTTCCTGCGGCTCCAGCCACCACCGCGTAGCCCATGATGAACATCTAGCAAAACCCAGGGGCATGTGAGAGCCTGGCCAAAGGGCTGAAAACATGGTCCCCGCCTCCCTGAAAATGTTGATATGAAATGGAACCAGGTAAAAAATGAATCTTTCAAGCATCACCGCACTTCTGTCCTTCAGCAACAACATCAACAACTCAAAATAGGATCCTGCTATTCTAATACTTGTTTTAGCAGCTTAGGTAAAGAGACCATTCTAATCCACAGGAATATATTCCTCTCCATTTTCGTGCCTCTTTATGCTTCTTACCCTCTTACTCAAGAGTCTTGTCATTTTTTGTTTTTGGTCTAACTTCACCAGGACAACTCATTTTTTTTTTCCTCTTGAGGTTCTTGCTTTATCTAAGTGCATCTGTGCTATGCTAATTCTTTCCCTGAGTTGTTTCTTTTCCTTTCTTTCTTTCCCCCCCCCTTCATTCCTTCTTTTCTCCCCCCCATCCCTCGGTTTTCTTTTTGTCTTACTTTTAGGGGACTCTATAGAAGTAACACAGTTGATATGTACCAAAATACTGTTCACAAGTCTGAAAATGGTGTTTTGGAATAACAGCTTAAAATAAAATGAAGAATCTCAAGAATTCTGTTAGATAAAACATTTTGCAATCTATAGTCATCTTTATCCAATCTGATAGTGAATGTGGAATATTCAAAATTTCAGTTCAGGGCCGGCCCGGTGGCGCACTGGATAGTGCGCCGCTTGGGAAGCGCGGCGGCGCTCCCGCCCGAGGGTTCGGATCCCACATGCAGACCGGTTCCTGCTCACTGGCTGAGCGAGGTGCGGGGGCAACGCCGAGGGTTGCGATCCCGTTGCCGGTCCCCGGTCCGGTACGGGGGCAACACTGAGGGTTGCGATCCATTGCCAGACACGGAAAAAAAAGACAAAAAAAAAAAAAAAAAAATTCAGTTCAAACAACTGTTCCATTAATATGCATTGACAGGTCCTCTACGAAGATTAAATATGTATCTTCCCATAACATAAACTTACTGTTGTAAGTTTCCCAATATACAATACACTTAATAGCATTTAATGCTTGATACTGACAAGGTCATTCCAGGAGAAAGGATATAGTACACCATTCAGTGACATATAATATTGATACCATAGGTTCCAAGGGTACCTTGTCCCAAAGTCAAATGTTTCAGATATTCTGAATTCATTACTAATTTAGAAATTAAAAAAACCAAACATTCTTCAAGGGCCCAGTACATGCCAGAGACTCCATTACTGTAGAGGACACAAAGTTCAACAAAACCTAGACCCTGTCCTCAAGGAACTCAGCCCAGACGAACCAGCAGGACTTATCAAGTGCACACCCTGTGGGGAAGGAGGCTCCCTATCCCTCCCCATTCCCCAAGCTCCTCTTCCATCAATTGGTCAGATTCCAGAATGAGCGGGTCACCTTTGCTAGTAGACAGGGTCACTCACCCTTTACTTAAAGGCTGGATGTGGGAGTGACTGTCTGTGTGTCCACATGGCTGGCATGATAGGCTGACCGAGCCCTGATATGCTTGTCTCTTGTCCTTCCAAGTTCGAGTGTGGTAAGGTTTGGACTTGGAGGAAAGGGGTCATGTGCTTCTGCCCGCTCACCAGAGATCTAATAATGAAGTGCTATTTTCCATTTACCATCATTCTTTACGTGCTATCTCCCTTGGAATGCTTGTGGAGAGGAACGGAAAATTTAGGGGGGTGGGGGTTGGGGATGGGATTTGGGTATTCCACAGCCCCTGCCATAAAACTACTACTTTAAACCATCATTGTCCTCATTTCAAACATGCAATTGCAATGCCATATGAGAGGTGATACAGGAAGTTCATATCCTGGCCTAGTGGGGCCACCAAGGAGGTCACCATCAACTATGTCTGGGGAGATCAGGGAAACAGAGTCTAGAAAAATAAATAGGAAAGGGCAAGTTGGGAGAAGGCACTGCAGAGGTAAGTAGAGGCAGAGATGGACCAAACTTTGAGACTTTCTGTTCTGCGTGTTTTATGCAAATATAAATACAGGCTGGTGCTCTTTCTATTTGCAAGAGACCATCCCTGCTTGTACTTCTGGCTCTTTCCCCCAAGTCTCCTTGGTCCAGCCCTAACTCAGGGCACCACCATCAATAACCCTTTTCAACACATCACAGGTCAGGATGTCTGTCACAAGACCTGGAAGCAAAACAGCAGAGGCAGAAAAAACACTCCTTGCTCTGTTTTAAATATCTGTGGCTAAAAAATGTTGCAGAAGATACTAAATGTCAGTCAGCTAAGAAGGAACTCTTGGGCCAGCCCAGTGGCACACTGCTACAGTGCACTGCTTGGGAGTGCGGTGGCGCTCCCGCCAAGGGTTCGGATCCCACATACAGACCGGTTCCCGCTCACTGGCTGAGCGAGGTGTGGGAGCAACGCCGAGGGTTGCGATCCCATTGCCGGTCCCGGTCCGGTATGGGTGCGACACTGAGGGTTGCGATCCGTTGCCGGACATGAAAAAAAAAGACAAAAAGGAAAAAAAAAAAAAGAAGGAACTCTTATTATTAGAACTGAATGCAGTAAAGAGAACTTGGGCAAATTGAAACCTTCAGATTTACTTTGCAAATGAAATGTAATTTCAAAGTAGTTTCCAGCTCTGTGCTACCTCTCAGCCAGTTCATAATTCTTCAGGCTGTGATGGGTCTTCTACAAATCCTTTCCCCAGACAGCTGCTGGGCTGAAAGTCTGGTAGTGACAACCAGGTTTGAACAGTGAGGGGGTTATTAAATAACATCAACAGCCCAAGGTCAAAGCTGCCAGGTACGAGGCAGGGTGGCTGTTCCCCGCATTTATACAATAGCAGATGCAGATTAAAAACACTAACCATCTGTGGGAAAGTTAAGCAGAAGGTGTTGTTGGTGCACTGTCTTTCTAGGCTCCGAGAGGAGAGTTCCAAGGGGCCACAATATAAGCAACAAAAACACCCTGTTATACTTTTCAGTTCCAGCCTTCCATTGTGCCTGTAACCAAGTCTGTCTGTGTAAAACCAGTCGATAAAGTCAACAAGTGAACAAATACCTTTCTTACTTGGAAAGAGGAACAAGAATGATATTTTAGGGTCTATTCAGATTGAATTCTTTTCATCAAAGGTAATCACGATCTGGTAGTTATTATCAGGCTTTACAAATTAATCATTTACCATGCAGCAAGTAGAATGTCTCAACCTGGCATGGATGATTTCATGAACGTGGCTTTTTGAAAAAGTTGAGTGAGGCTTTTTCTGCTGTTACACACAACTCCAAAATAAGTATAAAAATGTGAAGATTCAACTTCCAAAAGACTAAGGACTAACATTGCACAGCCTGATGAGGTTTACAAGCAGTCATAAACATCTGGAAACTAGAGTGGGAAAAATTATTACCTATTTAACTAGAGGGTTTATAACAAGTGCCCGTTGCTAAACACAATATATTAACAGTGGGTGCGTATGAGCCGGCCCGACGCGACCCCGCTAACAGGTGGCCCGCCGCCGGCGGGCAGGAGGTGGAACGTCCCGGCACGTCCGTCCTGAGCGCGGGAGCAGCGCAGCCGGGTGTTACACGAAGCTAACAGGTGAGCAGCGTCCCCTGTGTGCCCGGCGCTGGAATTACTTAATCACCAAGGCGTAAACTATCCCTACTCTACAGGTGAGGGAAACTGAGGCACAGGACAGCGGCGACGTAACCTGCTCGAGGAGACACAGCAAGTAAGCTGTAGAGGCAGGAACTGAACCTAGACACTCAAGGCGACAGAAGCTCTCGATGCGGTCTCTCCGCAGACACTCGGGGGTGTCCCGTTCCCCGAGGCGGCTGGCTCTCTCCCGCACCGTCCAGCCTGGAGAAGCGCGGATTCTAGGAACTAAAACAAGAACAAAGCCCCGGGAAGCCCGAAGACGGCCTGTTCTGTGCGTGTGTAGGAGGTGGGTGGGGGAAGGAACTCTGGATTCCGCTCTGAACTCCCGCCCACATCGCCAAACTTCACCGTTGAAATGGCAGCAACCACCGAAGGCACTGGCGGGGCAGTTCTCCGGGGAATGTTAGATCAGCAGAAAAGTGTTGCTGGGGTGACGAATTAATAAAAACAACTGCAGACCGATCTTTTCTTCTCTTCCCCGTTCTCCCAGTTCACGTCCCTGTCCTTCCCCCTCTGCACCCGCTGAGCTGCTAGCTCTTGCTTCGGTTCAGTGCTGCTTCTCCCTGAGGGTGGAAACCTGAGTGGAGGAATGATCTGGTATAAGGTCAGAAAATGCGGTTCACTTCCTTCTGGGCTTGTCACCACCCTCCCACTCCAAACTCTCTGGCCTTCCTGGGTGCATTTACCAGGCAGTAGCTGAAAGTCCAGGGAACCATGAATTCACAGGACAAATAACTAGACACCTGAGGAGTACAACTATAAAAAGACCACAACTGAATAACATATACCATCTGAAACAGAATTATTAGAGCGGGTGGACCAAGATTTTTAAATAAAGGAGATGAAGTATGATATTAGCAATATAAATCAAGAAAAACATTATGAAGCTAAGATAAATAGAAATATTAGGCATGAAAAATAGAATGAATATTTATTCATGCTATTTGTTAATAATGTGGGATAAATAGTAGAATAGATGCAGCTGAACACGAATTAGTGATCAGAAGAGCAGTTTTAGCAACTCTCCAAAGGCAGGGGGAAAATATTAAAAAATAAAATAAGGTAGCTTACTTAAAATTTTTTCTAACATATCAAAGGTACAACTAGAACAAAAAGGGAGTGATAGAAAGGAAGAAATATTTGAAGACAAAATAAAGGTAAATTCCAAGGTTGAAAGAAAGAAGTAAGCCTCAGACTGAAAGCATTATCTCAAGCAAAATATTTACATATATAATTATTCAAGAACAATAACTTTAAAGTAATAGTTCCTGTTAAACCAGATTATCATTAGAATGTGAGGATGTAATAAAAAAATATATATATTTTTTTCCTTTTTGTCTTTTTTTCGTGTCCGGCAACGGATCGCAACCCTCAGTGTCGCACCCGCACCTCGCTCAG